AAAAGTGAAATTTTGATAAAAATGCAATAGCCAAAATGTGTTGAGTTCTACAGTGACAGATTCAAATTGTAATGCTCCCAAGCACGACAACAACTACCAGTAGATTTAAATTGAAAACATACAGATTACTTCTGTTGTTCTTTGTCTGATTTTTCTGTAGAACAAGAAGCTCCTTGGGTGGCAGCAATGCTGTCATTTGTCTTTATGGCAATGGCAGTGGCTCTGGTTGTGATTTCGGTGGTGTATCGGAAAAGGATATCCCACTTTCTTTGTCCAAAAGATTCACTGCCTCAGCACTTCAAAGAGGTGTGTATGTTTATATGTATGTGCATGTATTGTTTTTGTCTGCAAGGTTCTTTTGTAATCACAGATTCACCTTCAAATCCTGACGAATCTTTTGGCAAGCAACAAAGCATGATCTTATCACAAAATTGTTCACAAAATTCGCGTACTGATTCCAGATGTAAGCATGTAATTGGATCCGATATGTTGGCATTCATGCAGTAAGACTCATAAAATATTCCTTCATTTGGGTATTTAAGCATTTTATTTATACATTTTTCTCATTCGCTAAGACACACTTAATGAAGCTGCGATCCACTTGATTTTTATCATCACCTTCTTAGCACAGCAGTCAGCAAGTCTTATCAGTCGGAGGAGGAGGTGTATGTGTGAACGCAAATGTCTGAGTGAGAGCCTCCTGAGTTTCTGTAGTCTCTGTCCACTGGCCCCCTAGTGCAAAGTCAGCAGAAATTTTGGAGGAGATCATGTGTGAATACAGCTGGAGATCCTCCACAGGATTCAGTCTGTTAACTATTGTGAAAATGTGATGCCAGAGTGAACATGACTGTTTAAGCAATCAACAAAAACTGAAGCACAAATCTGAATCAACTTGACTCCTTCCTATCTCCAGTATCTGCTGGCACCCCCCAACTCCAACATCTACTTGGCCATGCAGAATTCCCAGCCACCTGAGGAGATCTACCACAAAGTCAGAATCATTGCAGATGACAGAACTGTGGAGGACTGAGGCCCTCTGGTGGTAGAAATGACTGCAAGAGTGATGACAAACAGTCTGAAGTCACAGTGTGGGGGAGACACTAGGAAGAAATGATCAGCCGCCATTCTCTGTGTATTGTATTTTCAGAATATGAACTTGAAAGTCTGTAGACTGCCATTTTGTGAAATATATTGTCCATACTTTTAATTGCCTCAAGGTGGCAATGTGTACGTTTTCTTAATAAATTTGGAATTTAGTGGTGATCTTTCTGTGAAGTTAGGGATATATTATGGTCTCTTGCCAACATAATGTCCAGCTCTAAGGTTTATACATGAATCCTGTACTCAGATGAGTTAATTGCTGTAAATACTCTGTCCATTTAATACAGGGAAGTGTTTACTCTCCAGCCGGCTACAGGTAGTCCGTATCCAAAAACTGCATTTGTGAATCCAGCAACATCAGGGGAGTCTCAAAAAACCCACACACAAATCTAGAGCAATCTACACACAAATGTAAAACTATTTGTGTGCACTGGAATGTATTTGTGAATCCTGCTGTAACCCTAACCAATCGTTTCAGAGTTTTGGGGCCCTCACAGCAAATGCTCTGTCCCCGGTAGTTCATAATCTAATATTTGGAACACACAGAAGACCTCCCCCCGAAGATCTCAATGCACATGAAAGTTCGTAAAATGCTAAAAGATCTGATATGTAGCTCGGAGAAAGGCCATGGAGAGTTTTAAACATAATCAGTAAAATTTTCTAAATCATAAAGATGCTAGAACAGAAGTCATGTTTTTTGGTTCTGGTTAAAAGCCTGGCAGCTTTGTTCTGTACAGTCTGGAGTCGATCAATAGATTTTTGGGTTAGGGAAAGTAAAAGGTCGTGATAAAATTAAAGCATGAAAAATCATCTCTGTGTCTGTAAATGTTCAAATACAGACACAGAGAATTTTAGATATATTTCAGAGATGATTCAAAATATGTACCAGCTTTGGTGTGTGCTGTTAAAAGTAAAATTGCTGTCAAACCAGACGCCACGATTCGTTGCAGCAGGTTTGATGTGATCCAATAACAGACCAGCAGATAGCAGTATTTGCTTGGGAATGTGCTCAGGTCCGATTAAAATGGATGGAGAACTCACGGTCTGCATCATTTTAAACTGGGGCACATGGAGGAGGTAGATTAACCAACTGATGGACCGGTTTAAATAAATATCTGGAGTTGGGTTTTTGGGTAGAATCAGTTCAGAGAAATAGTATGTTCTTGAACCCTTAACCATATTGTTGTGTTGTACTAAAATTTCCATCATGATATTGTAATGAAAATGAAGATTGCAGTCAAGATTTTTTCCATCTTCGCTCTGATTTCCTGCAATCCCTTTTACAGCTTCTAATAGTGTAATTCATTCAAGGCAGTTTTGACTTTGGTAATCAAATATTTGGCCGAACTTTGACATGCTGTGCTCATTAAAGATGCAAGTGTCAGTGAATGGGGTGGGACAATATTTACCAATGATGATTCGTAGTTCAATAATAAACATTTGTGCTAAGATATATTAAAATGGAGCTGTTCGGCAGAGGATACTTTCAAACCCAGGGTGACTATGAGGTCCAAGGTATAACCACGGCTGTCTGTTTGTCCACATTGCTTGCATTAGTACAAGTTGAGTCATCGATGTGAATATTAAAATGCCCACATAAAACAATACTGTAATGGTTTAAAACAGGAAAGGATAAAAATTCAAGAAATTCTGCTAAAAGCTGGTTTTGGAGGATGATAGATAGCAAACTAAATTCTCACAGTTTAAAAGTGAGAACTTCAAAAGTGGAAAATTATCACATGTACTCAGATGACATTTAAAACCCTTTTTTTACAAACACCCACAGAAACTACTGACCCTGGGTGAGTCAGTATTGAGGACACCGTTCAACAAGCTCCTTCATTGTTTTGTAACCAAGAGTGAGTTAAAAACATAAAATCTTAATAATGAAGGTCTTGCTGGACCAAGATCTTACGTTGAATAGAACATGCTGGGAGTTGATGTACCTATGTGGATGTTTAAAGGATTATTGAGATTACTGTGTGGGATGTTCGTGTTTCTGTTGTTGATACATCTGTGCGTTATGATCATCGGGCTGTAGAGCCACGTGTTGGGACCATAGACTGGATACAACCAAGGTTGGGACCGGAAGGGGGTAAGAGCGAGAAATTAGAAATACTCCAGCCCTGTCGGTGGCGCTAATACTTCTGTAAGCTGGTTTTCCCAACGCCAAAAAACGCCAACGAGAAAAAAACGGAAGCGACGAAGAGCTAAGTGATCTTTGGCAGCGGAGGCCCGAGAAGAGGAAGAAGTCAGAGTACACGAGAAGCAGAAGTGTGTTAACACGAAACTCCGACATGTCCTCGGCTGTGTATTTCGGCCTCCTCTTCTGGTGCCTTCAAACAAGCGTCGGTATGTTATTTTACTGTTTCGGTTTGTGTCTCCCGTGTCTGTCTTTTCGCTAAAGAAGGTACACGCTGTTAATACGTGTTACTACCACACCAACACAAAGCTAAATGAGCGACATGTGTAACTATATAAAACACAAATGACCGCAGAGTGGTGGGTGTGAACTACGCGGTGACAAACAACTGCATTCGTGTCGAGCAGCTTACATCTTACATCAACAGCTGCATCCCGTTTGACTCTGAATGTTCCGCTCCATGTCCGAGGAGGTAAACGCACTGTTGCAATCGTTGATTTGTTTTTCGTCGACGAAAGTTCACCGTTAGAAATAAGGTCCGCCAACACGCAGGCATGATTGCAGAAGCTGACGACAAGATGGCTGGCTGGAAACATTTGTTATTGTTGGCTGATGGGCTCAGAGAAACAGAAAGCCCTGGGCTCCGCGCCTTCTGCACAGAGACAGGTCGCGTGTCCAAGGAGAAGACGAGTTGTACAGATATATGTGGGGCAGAAGAGTAGAGCTGTAAAACGAATTGTCTTTGTGTTGAAGTGTTTCGCTAAAATGCCAAGTAAGTACAACTAGTGGTTTTGAAGGTGCTCAACTCCACATACATGGCGGAATTGTACCTTGTAATATGGTGCGACACCCAGGACGATCCCCTGTCCACCAAAAATTGGTGGATTTTTGATTATGACGTCTAGATGCTCTATGAATTAAATAGAAATCATGTGACAGACCTGCATCTTCATGAAAACCTATGCTGGGGAAAATGTTAATTTGGCAGTGCTGGGCCTTGTAGCTACA